CTACCATAGTTAAGAAAATATACGAAAGATTGAGACCGATCCTGATTAGCTTGTAGCCCCTTTGATACCGCAAGCAGTTGATACAATCCTGTTGAGGCCGGGAGAAGCAGTAGGAGGTAGCAGATAGTACTGTTCCCAGACTGCCACTGCACGATTGAATAAAGAAGCCAAAGGACGATCCTTTCTTGCTGCTTTGCTGGAGATAAGCCAGCTGTGGGTGCTGGAGCTGTAGGCCAGCATAGCTGTTGGAGCTATCTCTGACGGGATCCAGAGCTCTCGCTCCTAAAAGTTATCGGTTTCCTTTCTTCGCTTGGATGAAACGAACAAGTGCCTCGAGGTCTTGATGCACAGCATCAATTTGAATGTACAGTTTGGCGTGTCGTATGTACGCTTTGTCACTTTGCAACCATTGGTTGTTGGTGATCCATTTGGCCACTTGTTGGTATCCATACTCTTGAATCAACTGCACGAGATCCAAGACTCGTTCGTGGGGTGTGGGTGTGCCGACGGAAATGAATTGTTGTTGGGCTTCATGCCAGTATTCGTCTTGGGCCTTTGGCACATGTTTCTTCATGTCTCGATAGACACGGCGGTTCTCACAACAGTGTTGACGGGAGCAAAGGATAAACGGTTTCCATTGCTTCCTTCGGTGTCCTGACTGTAATGGGTCTTCCAGCGAGCGTTGGCTGATTGACTGGGTTGGATGCGACAGCCTTTTGGCCGGTGCTGGTTGTATTTGTCGTATCCATAGTGACCATGCTGATCCGCAGGAACCAGGGAAAGGTCGTAGGCACCTAGGTAGCGACCATGCTGCTGGAACTCCACATCAGGACTCGTTCCATATGTGTGCAACAGTGCCGCGGTTTGGACGACATCTTTGTCCAACTCGTCCAGTTGGAACGTTGGGACTTCCTCTGCCGCAGGAACGTCCTTGTCGTTGTTGTTGTTGCCTGTCATCTCCTTGGCGACCTGGAGAACGGGGGTCTTCTTGGTGTTGCTGTTGTAGTTGTCGGTAGTCATGGACCACGAGAGCAGCTTGATGATAGAAGAAGAGAACTTCATTTTGCAATTGATAGATATTGAATAGAAGAGTGATAGAAAGGTAATTGAAAGTAGGGGGGGTTGATCTGGCCTAGGCTTATCAACAATCGCGAAAGTCTTTCTTGTTCGGTTGGGTATGCAACTCTAGCAATCCGGTTGAACAAAAAAGTGAGCTCATCATGGTGACATTCCATTTTTCCACCCCAATTTTCAGATGACAGATTCTGCCAGATGAAAAACGACAGGTGATGAAAGAGACTGAGCCACTGATGAGCACTGATTTCATGCTCTACACTACCAAAAAACACCCAACAAGACACTTCCTGGGCCTCTCAGAGTGGTCTTGATGCTGGTTGGTTGTTGTTGTTGTCTGCCATGATGAGGTGATGGACCTGGTGATGGCGAGTTCATGGCGATGTGATTTTGTCACTGACCTTTTGTCTTGACAGACCCAGATGGATTGAGAAGCACGACTCGACGCAAAGATTTAAAGATATACACGACTGGTACCTTACGTACTTACATACGAGTTTAATAAAGGAAGTGGGTGAGACACGTAGAAAGTGTACCAGCGCTACAGCCCAAAAATGGACCAAAACCGTCTATAAGCAAATGATTGTCTCAATGTCCGATTGACCCATAAGTAGATTAATACGAAATCGACCTCAAGTACCATTGACTCATAGCATGTTACCCATATTGACCACATGATTTAACATCGAATACCCTATGTTAAACGTGTATTTCATTTTCGTTATACTTTTTGTGAGATAGTTAAATATAATGGTCCATTATTGAGTCCCGTTAACTCAGAAAATAGAGAGTGAAAGTTTTCCGATATTGTACTGTTTTTGCTATAGTATCGCTGATGTCTCAAAGCGATGGACCAAAACTGACTTTATACCTGTACGTTAGTCCAAGCAGCCTTCTTCTCTTTCCTTGACTGCTCTTAACTGTTTACTGTACACGAAACGTACAGATCATAGACATTCTTAAAAGACATGTGCAGAGTGAAAGAGAAAAGAAGCAAGAAAGGTCATTCATTCTGTTTAATCAAAGCTTGAAGGAAGGCCTTTCTGTTAATTTTTCGATTCAAATCATTCATTCAATGGATTTATTAGAGAGTCCTCACGTTTACCGTACGTAGTACAACTGTACCCTGAAGGTGTTTTGCCCCGTCATGTCCACATGTCCACGACAACATTGTCATGACAACAAATGTCATTGTAATGTTAAAGGTTGGCACTAGCTAGCAAACTAGCTACCAGCACTCTTTCATTAGACTGCATTTATTTATTGTAGACTGCGCCAGTGCAGAATAACTAACTGTATTGTTGTGGACCACGCGAAAACAGATGAGGAAGGAAACTGTGAATCGAATATTCTATAAAGTAGTATATTCTGTCCCAGCAGACATGGTTTTGTTGCGCCAGTGCAGCCATTGCTTCGTTCGTATTGCCCAAAGCGTGGGCAGAAAGGACTACAAGTCTTGCAAACTTGTGGTTTGGCTGGCTGAAAGAGCGTCTCTTTGTTACTGTGGTGCTCTTGGAGATTATTTAGGTCCCTCAGTTCAGCAACTGGACTGCCCTCTTGCTTAGTAGATCCAACCAAGCAAGTTCCAGACCGTTCAACAAGAGAATGGAATGGAATGGAGTCTGTCCCAGTTTCTTCAGGGAGCTCTCTCTTGGTACTGTAGCCAACCATCCAGCATCCAGCACCGTGGAGTAGTGCGCACATGTCCGAAGTTCACTTCTCTCGGACGTGCTTTCATTCGGCTGTAACAATGGCGATAGTACGGTGCTGAGTGAATCATGAGTGCATCATGCACCTGCCCTGTTCACCACTAGCTAGCTAGTAGACCTCAGCTTTTGCATGCTTGCATGATACCGTACGATTGTACGATACGATGGATGCATGCATTCTGCTTTTTCGCTTGGCAAAGCTCTTTTCGCGCTTTCTTGACACTACAGTCAGTCAATAGTCATTCTCCAAAGTCACGTGAAGTGTAAAAGAGAAAAGAAGCCAGAAAGGTCATTCATTATGTTTAATGCGAAGGCCTTTTTCCAATTTTTCAATTCAATTGACTTAGAGCTCCCATGTTTGGGCCAGTGAGGCGTTATGCACGTGGCATATCCCGGACACTCATTTATTGTACCATTGCTCTTAAAAAAAAAATCGACAGCTCGCATTCTCAACGGGGTTGCCTGAGCATGACCACCAACCACCACAAACTGCCCACAACCCTCAAACCTACAAACCTCTGGCTTGGTCATGCAGTTACAATTGCTGGCATAAGCTCCTCATCCTTCATTTCCTTGCGTCCTTCTGCCTTCTATAGAACGCCCTTCCCTGCTGTGTCTCCTGTCTTTGTCTCCTTGCCTCCTCCTCCTTGTTGACAAGTCTTCCATACTCTGATAGTACTGATCAGTACCGGTAGCATGGCTCCCTACCAAACATCCGTGAGGCTTCCCGCTCGTTCGAGTCTCTCTGGTTCCATTACCGCCGAAGCTCTGGCTCGATTGGAATTGGCGACAAACGAATTGTACCAAAGTGGCAGTGACGACAATGGCGGCGACGATCAATCGGACCGCAGCGGCGTGAGTTCCTATTTGGGAGACGAAGCATCCGAGTTTGGCACCATTGCCAGTAGTCGACGCTCCGACAATCACACGAGTCCCGAAAAGATTGCCGAACAATTGTCGCAACGAGAGTCCATGCGCATTTTGCGATTGCGTGTCATTGTGATTTCCGTCTTGTTCTTGACGGCCTTGGCCATTTCCAGTGTCGTTTTCAAGATTACCACGGATGGAGAAGTCGATGAGTTTACCACACAATACGAAAGTGCCTCGTCCAAAGTCATTGCGACGTTTGAAGATGTCATGAATCGTATGGGATCCGTGGCGGGGTTGGGATTGTCCTTTACATCGCAGGGAATGCATACACAAGAGCAATGGCCGTTTATGACTTTGAATGACTTTCCACCCAAGGCACGCAATGCACTCCAACTCTCCGGGGCACTCATGGTGGGAATGAGTCCCATTGTGCAGGGACACTTGTTTGACGAGTGGGACAATTATGTCATTCAACCACAAAACACCGAATGGATGTACGTTGACTTACTCTCTGTGATCTTGACCTACTTGACTACCTGATGTTGATCTCATGATCTTATGCCACTTACTCCACTAACTTACCTGCCTTTTGTTTATTACAGCAACCAATCCTTGACGTACCAAGCCGAACTTCACTTGAATCACTCGTCTTCCGTATCATCATCAAACCGTCCCGTCGATGTCATGCATTACTTTGACCATGGCGCCGTGGTTCCCGAAGTGCCGGGAAAACCATGGTACTTGCCCGTCTGGCAAACCGCCCCGTACATTCCAGATCACGGATTGGTCAACAACAATCTTCTCAGGTATGAAAATACAACCGATTTCATTACCAATGTCATTACCCATGGACACGCTGTGGTTTCCGAATTCTACGGGGCACCACCGGGAACCACTGCCAGTGACAATGCCGATACGGCTCTCTTTGCATCGCTTCGAACCGCCAAGGAAAAGACATCGTCGCCGTACTTGGGCGATCCACTTTCCAATTTGTACATTCCCGTCTTTGATACCTTTTCGACTGCTAGCGCCAAAAGTCAGCAACAAACCGTCGTGGGTGTCTTGCATGCCATTATTCATTGGAAATCTTACTTCAAGAAAATATTACCCGACAATGTCCAACGCATCATTGTCGTATTGGAGTATCAATGTGGTGGGGGTGACAATGACAATAATGATGACAACGACAACACTACTACTGAGGCTCCTCGACGAGACTTGGCCACTACTTTTACCATCATTGACGAATCAGAGGCATCCACCGACCCCAACAGTTATTGGGCACTGCCTTCTTCCGTCCCTCCAGAAGAGGAGATCACGTCGGATGCCGACAACAACGATGGAAATAGTTATTGGGAAATTGATCAGTTTTCCACGCAAACTGCAATGCCTGAACCAACCAATCCACTAGAACAAGAAGAACAACCCGAGCAGACCGCAATGCCCGAACCAACCCAACAACCAGAACAAGAAGAACACGAAGAAGAAGAAAGAGACCCAGTGAATGTCACGACGGACGACTTTTTTTCTGCAGAGTCGTCACAAGAAACCAACCATAATGGAACCTCCACGGATGACGACGACGACGGCCCTTCCTTTTTTACGTACTACGTGGAAGGATCCGAAGCCCATGCCATTGGATACGGCGATCATCACGATCCGAGGTTTGATCATTGGATGCGAGTGGGGACATTTGCCACGCGCAATTTGGATGATGGAACTGTCGGTGGGATTCCCGTCGATCAACAATGCTCGTATCACATTTACGTGTATCCCACACAATCCTTTTACGATGAATTCATCACCACCACGCCCTTGCACATTACCATGGGTATTGTCGTGGTCTTTATTTTTGCCATTGTCATGTTCCTCATGTACAATCGATTGGTCGAAAAACGGCAGCAGAAAGTGTTGCAAAAGGCGACCCAGTCCACGGCCATTGTCGCGTCGCTCTTTCCAAAGGTACGTACTGTACTTACAATTGCAATGAACAACAACACACGACAAAACGCTGATTCTAACCACTACTCCAATGCATTCATAATATGATAGAACGTCCGTGATCGGTTGCTGGCAGGAGGCAATTTGGAAAAAGAAGAAACCGACGGGTTTGGAATTGGGAACAAGTCTCGTCTCAAGGGGTTCATGGCGGGTGAAACAGAAGGCAACGATGAAGACGAGCAGCCGATTGCGGATCTTTTTCCACACTGTACGTCCAATTATTTATTTGCACGCTGGTTCCTATCTATGGCTTTGTTCTACTGTAGTAGCTTACGTTTCTTTCGTCGTCATGTCCATCTTTCTCTAGGCACGGTGTTCTTTTGTGATATTGCTGTGAGTGCATGCCCTCTACGTTTGTTGGTCTTTTGGACCGTATCACATGGAGTATGTTTTCAGAGCTGACAAAATACTCATCATTTCGTGTCGATACCCATGTTACCAAAAAATCCAGGGGTTTACGGTGAGTTTCTTTCGAAGTCTGGATGCTATGCAGGTGGACGGCATCCTCTCAAAATTGCGATGCTCTGCGTTCCAACCAACTACTAGGCATGGTCATCCACTCGTGAGCCCGCGCAGGTTTTCATCTTGCTCCAGGGTTTATACCAGGCATTTGATCAGCTTGCAAAACGTAGGCATGTCTTCAAAGTTGTAAGTAGCTCTGGCATTCTCGCGTTCTTGTTAGATGAATGGGAAAGCATCAATCCTCAGATCCTCTTCTTGTTGCAGGAGACTATTGGGGACAGCTATATGGTAAGTAGTCCAATGCTGCTGTTGTGGCGTGAATAGACAAAAAGAGCGAGATTTGTCTGACACCTCTGGCTTTTTGTTGCATGAATTCAGGCTGTCACGGGTTTACCCGATCCGCAAGAGCATCACGCCAGGTATGGATGATGAGATTACTCGTAGTATCTTAACCGGATACATCCCAGATATCTCAGCTTTCCTTATTCAACTCTTCTTAGCATCATGGTTCGTTTCGCCTGGGGTTGCATTGTGAAAATGAAGGAAGTGACGAAGAGACTGGAAAGGTATGTAACTTCTTTTGGTTGCTTTAGTTTGAAGTGCTACTCAACCCACAGGTATCCCTGACGCTGAATGCAATTTTGTCCCCGACATCAACAGAACCCTAGGCCCCGACACCACAGAACTCTCCATGAGAATTGGCTTGCATTCAGTAAGTTACGACGAAGGCTTGTCTGGAATACTCGTGATCTCTGCTTGTACACTAAATTGTTGGCTCTGCTCTTCTGTTGTGGCACAGGGGCCTGTGACTGCTGGCGTCTTGCGAGGAGACAGAGCCCGCTTCCAAGTACGTTGCTCGTTTCTGTGATCACTAGATTTCCGTCCCTAGCTAGCTTTGCTTACAATGCGAGTCTTTTTCTTTTGACTTAGTTGTTTGGAGATACAGGTGAGGCTTCCAGCCCCAAAGGCAGTCTACGTGCTTGCAGATTCTAACGTTTTTTTCTCCTCTGCTTCTTGAAGTCAATACGGCAAGTCGCATGGAATCAACTGGTGTTCGTGGAAAGATTCAAGTCTCAGAAACGACTGCCAACCACTTAAGGGATGCTGGAAAGGACCACTGGGTCAAGCCGCGAGAGGACGTAGTGAAGGTAATTGGATACGTGAGATGTTGTTGATTGACTTTCTTCGTAATGCTGACACTATTGACATCTCTGCAATCAATCAGGCTAAGGGGAAAGGAGTTTTACGGTAAGTAATTGCAATCGTGACGATCGAGCTGCCTGCTTTCACGCACATATCTCTAACGCAATTCAACTTCTCCTCTGTAGAACTTACTGGGCTAATCCAAAGAACAAGCGCAGTGAAAATGGCAGCTCTTCGTGGGATGTCGGGAGTAGCGAGGAACCGGTAGAAGACGACGACGAAGATGACAACGGAAACAGCGGAGCTCAGCAACAAGCCCAAGACCGCCTAGTGGATTGGATTGTCAAGCTCTTGTCGGATGACATTCTGAAGATTGTAAGTAGATGTGTTCCGAGGCAGGCAAGAATTCGGAGAGAAGTCCTCTCACTCTACGGCTCCACCATCTCCTTGAAGCTATCCGCTCGCGCCAGGAGCAGCGCCATCAAAGCGAATTCAATAGGCAATCTAATGAAGGGTGCCAATGCACCAGCACCAACATATCACCCTCCAGAAGGCAAGACGTGCATGGACGAGGTCAAAGAAGTCATTCGCATGCCCAAAACGGTCGCAAAATCAGATGAAAGGAAGGTGTCCGAGATCCCCGATGAAGCCCTTCATGAGCTTGGTGAATACGTAACTGGCATTGCCCTCATGTATCGAAACAACCCTTTCCACAACTTTGAAGTAAGTCGGATGTGTTTTCGAAGTTGACAATCAAATATTGCTGGTCATCTCACCGTCTTCTCCGCTTGTCTGTTTGTTTGCAAACAAAGCATGCATGTCATGGTGAGGAACCGCAGGTGGCTCTTGTGCTCTACTGGTTGTCTTGGCAAAGCTCACAGTTTCTCTGCTTAACCCCTATCCCAACAGTGACGATGAGTGTCAACAAGTTGATTCGACGTATTGTGAATCCAGACATCTCGGCGGAAAAAGCGGCTGGTTTGGATGATGCTAGCAAGAAGTTGGCAATGCACGTGCATGACTTCTCGTACGGGTTTTCGTCGGATCCTCTGGCAATGTTTGCAATGACGTTTTCAGCATTGATTCATGATGTGTAAGTAAACTACGGCCTCTGCACGTGTGGATTTGTAAAGATGTTCACAAAAGTGTTGCTTGATCATTATTTGCGCTGGAAACAGTGACCACCGAGGAATCTCAAATATGCAGCTGGCAAAGGAAGAGCCAGAGATGGCCACCATGTACCACAGCAAGAGTGTTGCCGAACAGGTAGGATACAATGCACACACAGGACATCACACGCAACATGACAGGTGCTGCAGTAATCCGCAGTTTTCTCACACCAGTCCTTTACTCGATACATGTGCCTGCGTTAGAACTCGCTGGATGTTGCTTGGGATTTGCTGATGGAAGACCGTTTCTCCAACCTCAGGAAATGTCTCTTTGAATCCAAGGAGGAGCTGATGAGGTTCCGCCAGCTCATTGTGAACGTTGTGCTTGGTGAGTTGGTGCTGGTCTCGTGGCTGCTTCTAGTCCTAGTTTCTGTGAGATCTCATCGTATCTTATTTCCTCTTGGTCGATCCACGCACATAGCTACCGACATCTTCGATAAGGAGCTCAATGATCTCCGAAAGAATCGTTGGAGGAGAGCATTCTCAGGGGAAGGAGGGGAAGAATCAGACAGAAGCGATCTTCGTGCGACGATTGTTGTAAGTCCATATTTTGAACCAGTTGCATCACTATAGCTAGCAGCGCATCACCGTACCTCACACGTGTTGCCTCTTCCTTTGCAGATTGAACACATCATCCAAGCTTCCGATGGTAAGTTACATGGAAAGGCAAATGCTTTCCCCAACAACGGTGGCAATCATGCATTTCATCATAGCTTCATCTGACCACATCTACTCCCTGCCCTGGCTGTGTCGCAGTGTCTCATTGCATGCAACATTGGCATGTGTACCAAAAGGTACGACGCCATGAAATAGATTTCCATTCCTTTCGGGCTTACAATACTGGAGACTAACTTCCATTCTTGTTTCCTTGTCATTATAGTGGAATCGCTGTCTGTTCAGGGAGATGCACACAGCATTCAAGCAAGGACGCCTAGGGAAGGATCCGGCTGGTTTCTGGTACAAAGGCGAGATGGGCTTTTTTGACAACTACATCATCCCTCTGGCTAAGAAGCTAAAGGACTGCGGTGTCTTTGGTGTCAGTAGTGATGAATATTTGAACTACGCCGTTCAGAACAGAGCAGAGTGGGAGGAGAGAGGGGCAGAGATTGTAGCAACCATGGTCGAGGAGGTCGCAGAGGACAATCTAGCCACGGGCAGTACAACTGTCCGAAAGGCTTTGAAGCGTTTCAGTGCCCCACCAGAGCAAATGATGAGGGATGCCATGGCGCTTCAAGAGTCTCTAAACGGTGGTGCGAAACCACCCAAACCATCAAGAGGACATCGAGCTTCGACCAGTGAGTCGTTCCCCAGCAACTCGCAGGAATTTCGGGAGTCGATAGGTGTTTCGGCCAAGACAACACACTAGCTAGCTACAACGAACATGGATACATCATATTGCATAACTAACTTTTACATAGACGCTATGGCTACCCACTCTTGGATTGGTGTCACGTGGCGAGCACTTCAATTGCTTCAAACTTCATACTAGCTTCATGCACGTAGACTATTAAGGGCGGCAGTTGTTGTCCGTCTTTGGCAAGCACGTTGCATGCATGCACTGACTGTAGCAAAACTAAATTTTCTTATGTATACTCTCAAATGATGTTCTTCATGGAGATCCGTATCTCTATAGATTGCCCTTGTGAAAGCCACCCATTTATGTCTCTGTGGATCCCACAAAGCCAAACCCTTTGGCCCCAGTATTGGTCCTCAATTTCTTGCACCTGATCCCACAGAACCTAGTCCTGAATTTCGACTGTTCTTTGCTTAAGCCTGGCCCTGGTTGGCTTCCGTCCATAATTTCCCTACTCTAAACCCCCGTGTTATAATTCATGACTCTAAGCGGAGCAATGTGGTAGCACACATGCTCCAATTAGACTGGCTGCCACTGCAGATAGTGCTATCTATAGGAGCCAACCACTCATTGCTCTGAGCAGCCACCAAGGAAGAGGACAATGGTGTCTTTTTGTTTAGGGGCTTCTCAGTTCAATGTTGGGTTCCAACGGTTTTGGATTGGTGCACTGGTGCACTGGATATTACCGTTGTTCCCCAACGCTAGCACTATCGCTTCGACACTACATACTCAGGTGTACTATTTGGTCGTACCAATAGTCCTGTGAACTGCCCATGCCAACCAGATTGCGGACAGCTGAGGCGGTGTCTGGGAGTCGAGGAAGAATCCTGTTGGTCGACTCACTCGGAGCAATGCAATTCCCTGAAGTACTCAGCCAACCTCTTAAATTGCTCCAGCGAGCGTGATGTTGAAAGTAGCACAGAGTCGAGTCAGCATTTCCCTAGTAGTACATTAGAAGAGTATTCAAACTGTCTATCTAGCTATCTATCTACCTACAGACAATATCATATGTGTATTGTTATCTTAAAAACGAGAAACCTCAGCAAGAACCACAAATCAACATTCACAATCACATCCACAAAGCAAATTGGAACAATCAAAGTCTATCGAACACTCATCCTCATCATAAAAGCAAGAGGAATTTTGAAGGAAACAGAGCTCTTCGGGAATGGAACCTACCAAACCAGGGCTGCCAGAGATGTTCAGATTGCCTAGGCTACCAGGCAAGGAATCGAAAGGGAATGGTCCTCTCAGGGAGGGTGCACTCACTGCAAGATCCAGTTCTTGTAGGTTTTCAAGCTGCCCCAATTCAGAGATGACCAAACCAACAAATGAATTGTTGCGGAGGTTCAGCGTCTGCAGAGATTCCATCAACCCAATTTCGCTAGGAATAGCACCAGAGAATAAACAGTCGTTAAGCCACAGACCAGACAGTTGTGCCAGCAATCCAACTTCACTGGGCAAGGATCCATCCAATGAATTGCTTCTCAGACTCAGAAAAGTCAGTTGTGTCAGCAAGCCAATCTGAGTTGGCAGAGAACCAGAAAGGGAGTTGTCCCTCAAGTTTAACCTGGTTACATTGGATAACTGCCCAAGCTCAGAAGGGATAGTGCCATTGAGGGGGTTCTTCGAAACGCCAATTGATTCCAAGCTTTTCAACTGCCCAAGCTCACTTGGAAGAGAGCCTGTGAAGGCATTGTCTAATATTACGAACTCTTGCATGCTGGTCAGCCTACCCAAATCGGTCGGCAGCATACCACTGAGAGGGGTAAGAAAAATATAGAATCTTGTCATGTTGGTCAACTGCCCGAACTCGCTTGGAAGAGATCCTGTGAAGGCATTTTCAAGTATATAGAATTCTTGCATGCTGGCCAACCGTCCAAGCTCAGATGGTATGCTGCCATTCAGAGAGTTGTGATAGACTTCAAGTTGTGTTATGCTGGTCAACTGCCCAAGCTCGCTAGGAAGAGATCCTGTGAAAGCGTTCCTGTGGATTTCCAATTCTTCCATGCTGGTCAACCACCCAAGCTCAGATGGTATGCTGCCATTCAGAGAGTTGCGATATAATTCAAGTTGTGTCATCTTGGTCAACAGCCCAAGCTCACTGGGAAGAGATCCTGTGAAAGCATTACTGTAAATGTCCATTTCTTCCATGCTAGTCAACCACCCAAGTTCAGAAGGGATGCTACCATTGAGGGAGTTCCGGTAGCAGCTAAAGTCTGTCATGCTGGTCAACTGCCCAAGCTCACTTGGAAGAGGTCCTGTAAAAGCGTTGCTGTACATTTTTAGGTCTTGAAGGCCAGTCAGCCTACCCAAGTCAGTCGGCAACATACCACTGAGGGAGTTCTGGGAGCAGCTAAAATCTGTCATGTTGGTCAACTGCCCAAGCTCGCTTGGAAGAGACCCTGTGAAGGCATTGTCAAACATATAGAATACTTGCATGCTGGTCAGCCTACCCAAGTCGGTCGGCAAAGTACCGTTGAGGGAGTTCTCGGAGCAGCTGAAACTTATCATGTTGGTCAACTGCCAAAGCTCCCTCGGAAGAGACCCTGTAAATGAGTTCGTGGTCAATCCTAGCTCTTGAATACGGGTCAGCCTTCCAATATCCGTCGGTATATGTCCATTGAATTTGTTCCCCCCAACATCAAGGTAAGTCAAACTTGTCATTAGACCAATCTCACTGGGCAGTTCTCCCCAAAGATCATTGAGGTGAATACTGATTCTTGCCAAGTTTTCCATCCTGAAGAGCTCTGATGGCAACAGGGTGTCCTTTGAGGCACTGATGTCATTTGAAGGCAAACCCAAACTGGAGAGATCAGTGAGCAGTGCAATCTCAGGGGGGACAGTTGGAGTGAGATTACCAAGTAGTAGGTGACTGAGTGCCAGAAGCTGATATCTCCCATCCTCATTGCACGGATCCATATCGAAAGAAGACTCATCGTACTCATAGTATGTGCCATCGAAAAGAAGAAACCCAAACTGACTGGAAAACCATAGGCACTCATCCTCAAGTTTGCCCTCATCCTGCATCCAGTCATTCCGGATATCATCAGGCCAGTTGGGGCCCTCAAATGCATAGTAGAATGTGGCCAAAGCAAACAGTTGTTTCTTCCTCCAGTCTTCCAGACTAGTGAGATTCTTGTGATTTGACAGCCAATCCCATGCTTGGTATTGAGGGTTGCTTCCATGCAGAATACGTGCCTGCGTAGAGCTTGGAAGCTCTGTAAAGACAAAATCCAATTGGCTGGTGGGGGCAGAGGATGCAGCTTCTGAGGGTTCCAGAGAGCCATAAGTAGTTGGTGCAGATGTCTGGATGCTGATTGCATCTTTTTGATCCTGTACTTTTCTAACCACTGTGCCAACAATAATTGCGGCAACGATAAGTGCCAAAACTGAAAACCCAACAAACGTCAGTCTCTGCCTCTTCTTTCTTTGTTCCTTTTCCATGACCTCATCAAGATTAACAGGATCTGCAGATGGCCTTGCTTGCTCCTCTGGATCTTCGTCAACCAGCTCTGCCACTGCCAGCTGGCCATTATTACTCGTGGTCGCAATGTTGCTGATGCTGTCAGGGGGTGGTTCCAAGGATTCACTCTCCGATTCCATCGCTGGTAACTGGGACTCCGTATTGGAACCGACAAGTGAGAATCTGAGGGAGCTTGAACGTTGTGGAGCTTCCCCTGGAGCACCCCTGTATGCTCCGGGGCGCTGTTGCTGTCTCTGTTGGTGTGGTGTTCGTCTCAAACCTGGAGGATTGATCATCTCTTGAGTGGTTGTGGGCTGTTCTCCCTCCACTCCTGAGTTATTGTTTGCTATCTTTTCCAATTTGGCAACCTCATTGATTTCGGCTGCCATTTGGAGAAGTTCCTGCATTTCTTCCTTCTGGTTTTCTGCCTCCAGTTGCTCCACCGTGGCCAAAGTAGCTTGTTCGGCAACAATCTTCATTATTTCTCTGTCCTCTTGGTTGATGACTTCAGTTTGAGCACTGGCTTGCTGTCCTTTTGATTTTGTTGGCTTTCCTCTTGCTACAATGGGAGGAGAATGAGACCTCGGTCGGTTCTTCTTGGCCTTCATTTTCTTGTTCACTTTATCTTGTTCCTCCTCTGTGGCAGCCCTTGCTTGATCAAGTTGGCTTTGTCGAGCTTCCAATTCGGCCCGTTTGAGGAGAACATCTCTTGTGCTTTCGCTCATGTTGTACAAGTATCTTATGCTTTGCTATAGCAAGCCTGCAAGCTAAAAGTAAACAACGGGGAAGTTATTAAATGCAATCAGTTAAAGGAAACTCCTATAGTAGAGCTGTTGGTCTTGTTTCGACCTGGTTTCAATAATGCGCAGCACAATTTCGTAGCAAATTCGTCGCTGGTTGTTGCTGCTGCTATTGCACGGCCTGGATCGATCGAGGCTCCACCGTTCATGACGACGACATGGGGTCGACAGATGACTGGCATGGAGGGTGACAGCTGGCGCTCTAAGTGACGTACATGTGATTCGATTCGATTCGATCGAGTTCGATTCGATGCCCGAGCTACGGTTCGATACTAGTACCGGTACCAGGTAAAGTTTGCAAAAGTGCTGTGGATGCCTTCTAACCTTGATGCGAGGAGGAATTAGATTATTATGCACAATACGGTACCTACCGCGAAGGATATCACTTTACAGATGAGATAGCTAGTTGGCTACCGGTGTATCACTTTACAGATGAGATAGCTTGTTGGCTAGCTACAGAAGATTGTCGAAGCACTATCAATAGTTGTTGGAAAAGCGCTGCTAGGTGCCGGTCTCTCTCCCTCTCGTCAAGAATAAAAAACTCTTGGAACTAAAGTATTCAACAAAACGCCAACTTGAGTTGTTTGGGTCGTTCCTTCACAGCCGGCAGGACCCAGTCGCGCACGAACTCCATACAATGCGGTGCCGTGTCAGGAAGAGTACACACGGTGAATCCCTTTTGGTCCGTGTGGGCGTCCAACACAACCAATCTTGTTTGCTTCAAATTCAGAGCATTCTTACCAGCCAGAATCGCCAGTCGATGGGGCGTCCCGACGGCCACGGCAAAGGGTGTTTGTTGGAGCCACGACGTTTGTTCTTCAACGGTCAAGTGTTTGGCAAACAATTTGGCAGCACGTGTTTTGAGTCCTCTGATTTCTTTCAATACTTGTACGGCCCGCCGTGCCGAGACACAAACGATAATGCACAAGGGAGATTGTCGATGTTTCCATGTTTTGACCTGTTTCATGGATGGCAGACAATGACGGAGTCGGGCTTCAAAGGTTGTTGTGGAGGGCGTTGTAGTGGAAGGAGGAATGAAATGAAAGGGTTGCAATTTGGGTGCCAGTGCCTTTTCGGCGGTTTCTTCGTCTTGACCTGACTTTAGTTGGTGGTGATGGACCAGACACGTCCACAAAAAGGTCGACTGATTCTCAGTGGTTTCTTGTTCTAGAGTTCGTCCCGCCGTCACGAGCATCTTGTGTCGATTTCCCGTCTTGCTCTGTTTGCTGCCGCCACTCGTAGCAGATTCCTCCTCGTCTCGTTTTCTCTTTTTCTTCGTGTCGTCATTGTCGTCGTCAATCACTGCCACGGTCGACGCTGCCAAAACCGACTTTTTCTGTTTCGATTCCTGCGCAAAATCAAACTTGTCGTCCTCCTCATCATCCACCACCTGTCCCGTCAGGAACTCATCGTCGCTGCCCAGATCGTCGCCTCCCATTGTTGTTCTATTGTTTTGTACCGATACTGTACCAGTCGAGGGAATTTTTGAGAAAAGAGATTGTCAAGGAAAAAATGGTTGGTGGCTTCCGAAACGACAGACAGACTGACTGACCGAGCGGAGCGAAGATCCAACTCACCTCATTTTTCTTGCTGTGAGAGAGCTCTGACGATTTGAAACTCTTGACATCTTGTGGTGATCACGTGCACTTGCACTCTTCCGCTAATTTTGCTTCCTTCTTCTTGGTTTTCCACCATGCACCCCCCTTCCCTGCCCCCCCTTTTTGCCCTACTCCCGTCCTCATTGCTCCCCCCACACGCCCACCACCACAGCCACCCACCACCGCAGCCACTGCTCTGCCAAGCTAGCTATGCATAGCTTCGCCCCCCTTGCTCCTTAAACGTATCTATTTAGTATTTGTTTCTTGGAGCTTCAACAAGAAGGAGGAAAAGATGAAGCCCACTCCGTCCGGAAGCTCAGCTTTTGAAGTCAATGGGTGATGGTCAAGGCGGAACACTGCTCATATCAAGCAAGCATATCATTGAAAGTATAGATTGACTCGCTAGCTTTACGTCCTCACACAACATCCACCATGCCATCTCCTCAAGAACCTCCACCGTCTCCCTTTTTCCGTCCGGCCCACCTGGACACGGTCGTAGTGGAACAGACGCTCATATCGACACCACAAGGTCGTCATCGACACAAACGCAAAAAAGTTACAGTCAGTGTAGTAGAACACAAGAGTGGCATTCTGGGATGTGCGGCCAACATGATGACGTGCATTGTCGGATCGGGCATTGTCGGACTGCCGTATGCCATGCAACAGACGGGATTTGTCGCCGGCATTGGATTGATCTTGTTGACTTCCCTATTGACGGAAAAATCATTGCGATTGCTCGTCGAAACGGCCAAACATTTGCATCAACAATCCTACGAAACAACGGCCGAAGTGCCCTTTGGAATCGTCGGATTCCGATTCATTCTCATCAACATGTTTGTCATGGCGTAAGTTCTCTCATTCTCTCGCCTTGGTTCATTACTCTCTTCTAAACTTGTTTTGTACATATGTATTCATTCACAGCTACGGCGCCATGGTTACCTATTTGATGATTACCAAGTCCTGTGCGAGCATGATTCTAGGAGTAGAGGACGAGACATACCAACAATTCGTACTACTGGGAATTTCCTTGATGGTCCATTTCCCATTGGCATCCATGAGAGACATGGCCGATTTGGAAAAAACGTCGGGATTGGCCGTCGCCATTGATTGTACCATTGTGGCGTTGGTGGCATACTCGTCACCCTGGATATCGATGCAAGGAATGGAGAGCAATAATTTGCTCCAACTGATACAAACCGATACCGTCCATGCCGGCACCTTGTTTGTCGGTCTCGGCGTATTGAGTTTTGCCTTTGAATGCCAAGAAGCTGCCTTTTTGGTCGCTGGTAGTTTGGAAACACCCACCGTGGCACGATGGGCTCGTGTTACCAAAATGACACTCACGGCCTGTCTGGTATTGGCCATGGTCTGTGCATTGACGGGCTACCTTGGTTTTGGAGATGCCACCAAGGGCAATATACTCGACAATCTCGATCCGTCCACCACTACCAGCTTTGTCGCGCACGGATTACTGGGAGCCACCATGTTTGCCACGTATCCATTGGCATCCTTTGTCGCACGACATGTCTGTGTGGTACTGCTGTTTGAAGGACGACGAGCTCACGAAGGAGGCAGTGACTCAACCATCCTCAATCGACCCGATCGACGAATATTGCTCACATTGGCACTCTACATTGCGGCCATTGTGCCCGCCACCGTCTACACGGACATGGGCAAAGTACTGGCATTGGCCGGTGTCATTGGGGGATCGTGTCTGGCATATATTGGTCCGGGAATGCTGTTTTTGGCAGTTCATGGCGGACGGTTTTTGGATTTGGTCGATGGCTTTTTTTATGTCATTGGCAGCGCTACTGCTGCTAGTAGTGGAGTTGTGGTGTCGGAGACCACCACGCTACTGCCATCCTCGTCTTCCGAGCCAGCAGACGACATCAAGAGGTTTGATGGTTGTTTCAAACAAGCACTCTTTTACCTTGGAATATTCCCACTCTGGTGTCGCATTGCCGAACGGGGAAAGAAACAAGTCATGGCCCATGCACTGGCGTTGCTGGAAAAGAACACCATTGAGCCACTGCGGATTGGTGAAGTCGATTATAGTATTGAAAAGATGGCAAAGATGGAGGAAGAGTCGCCTCCCAAGAGACACAGTGGACCAGTCATCTCGGCAGCCACACTGATACGACCCAGTCCAAACTTGGACGTTCCAACTTTGGACAACAATTCGCCCAATCCAAACGACAAGCCCAAACCCCGCAAAGCAGCTCCACCATTGGAACCCGACCCACAGGAGGCACCGCCTTCGCACATTGATTTCTTTATTGCCATCTTTTATGTTTGCTTTGGCGTCATTGCATTATTTGCGGGGCTTGTCTCGCTGGGCAGTGGATAGATAGATGGCCAGAGAGATTGTTTTTGGGGGGTGAAAGTTACCAATGCATGGAGACCCCTTTGGACCGAGGAAAGTAATCACCAATACCGTACATCATTAATGGCACCTTGCTCAAAGTTTGTACTACCTGCAAGAAAGTAACGTTATAGCTGGATCAGCTGCATCTCCTAACTGAACCTTGGCCACCACTAGCTACCGGTACGGTATTTTAAGCTTCTGTTGGCAGCAAAACATTCTGCACATCTGCGGCAAACCTGTCTGCACCTCTATTAGGACCCACATCTCGGTGCCAAAAATCTGCACCTCTGGCTATCTTACAGAGCTACCGGTACAGTTGAGAGGGGCCCGCACTTCAGTGACAGCAATCAGGAAAATTGGAATTGTGAGGAATCCAAATGGAAAATTGGAAATGTGTGGATTCGGAATTGGTGAAAATTGTAATTGTGAGGAATCGTTTCAAAATTGTAATTGTGAGAAATCGTTTTGAAAATTGTAATTGTGAGCAATTTTTCGAAAATTGTAATTGAGAGGAATCGTTTGAGAAAGAATTGTGAGGAATTTTTCGAAAATTGTAATTGTGAGAAATTATTTGGAAAAATAGAATTGTGTGGAATCGATTGAAAATTGGAATTGTGAGAAAATATTGGAAAATTTTAATTGTGAGGAATCGTTTTTTAAAAATTTAATTGTGAGGAATTGTTCGAAAATTGTAATTGTGAGGAATCGTTTGAAAAATTGTAATTGTGAGGAATTATTTTGAAAATTGGAATTGTGAGAATCGATTGGAAAATTGTAATTGTGAGGAATCGTTTGAAAATTGTAATTGTGAGGAATCGTTTGAAAATTAGAATTGTGAGGAATGTTTCGAAAATTGTAATTGTGAGAAATTATTTTGAAAATTGGAATTGTGAGGAATCGATTGAAAATTAGAATTGTGAGAAAATATTTGAAAATTTTTAATTGTGAGGAATCGTTTGAAATTGTAAATTGTGAGGAATCGTTTGAAAATTAGAAATTGTGAGAAATTTTTCGAAAATTGGAATTGTGAGGAATTATTTGAAAATTGGAATTGTGAGGAATCGATTGAAAATTGGAATTGTGAGAAAATATTTGAAAATTGTAATTGTGAGGAATCGTTTGAAAATTAGAATTGTGAGAAATTTTTCGAAAATTGGAATTGTGAGGAATTATTTTGAAAATTGGAATTGTAGGAATCATTGAAATTGGAATTGTGAGAAAATATTTGAAAATTGTAAATTGTGAGGAATCGTTTTGAAAATTGTAATTGTGAGGAATTTTTGAAAATTGTAATTGTGAGGAATCGTTTGAAAATTGTAATTGTGAAGGAATTGTTTGAAAAATTAGAATTGTGTGAAATCAGAAAAGTTTTAATTGTGAGGAATCGGATATTGTGAGAAATTTTGAAAATTTGAAATGTGAGGAATCGATTGAAAATTGGAATTGTGAGAACATATTTGGAAATTGTAATTGTGAGGAATTTTTCGAAAATTGTAATTGTGAGGAATCGTTTTTGAAAATTGGAATTGTGAGGAATCGTTTGAAAATTGGAATTGTGAGAAAATATTTGAAAGTTGGAATTGTGAGAAAATATTTGAAAAAAAGAAATGTGAGGAATCGATTGAAAATTGGAATTGTGAGAACATATTTGGAAATTGTAATTGTGAGGAATTTTTCGAAAATTGTAATTGTGAGGAACCGTTTGAAAATTGTAATTGTGAGGAATTTTTCGAAAATTGTAATTGTGAGAAATCGTTTGAAAATTGTAATTGTAAGGAATCGTTTTGAAAATTGTAATTGTGAGAAATCATTTCGAAAATTGTAATTGTGAGGAATCATTTCGAAAAATCGAATTGTGAGGAACCTTTCAGAAATTGGAATTGTGAGAAATCGTTTGAAAATTTGAAAGTCCGGATTTATTATTAAGGATGCCCAGGGGGGTACCGGTACTGTGTTCCTGCAAAAAGAAACATAAATGGCGCTAATCAATACTAGCTAGATATCGCCAAAGTTAACAGCCTCGTCGCGATTCCACGAGTTTTGAGATAACATCTTCAGGTGACGATTGTGGAGTCACATCACACAACAGACCTACTCCTTCTCTAGAAGGTATAATATGACACTCTATACCAGCTTTCGTCATGTGCCGAACAGCAATTGCCCAAAGATGGCAGCATCCAGTGAAGGTCTGGTTGTTGTTGTTGTGCTTTTCTTGTGTTATTTTTGAGCACAACTGAAACTGAGCTTACTGTATCCCGCGGCACATCCTTAATAAAAGTAAGTGGCACGTTTTTAGGGTTCAGCTTCTCAAAAGATCTTGTTGGTTTGGATCTTTGGCAAACTGGGTCCATCTTCTTTCTCGCCAGCTCATGGTTCATCATTCCTTTGTCCTTCTTCGTATTGTGTGCATCCATCTCTTTACAGAGAAAACAATATTCCGTACAACTCAGGTTCCCTACACCTCTTGATATCCTACAGTACCTGAAGTAGAAAGGCAATGAAGAATACTATGAAGAATAGATCCAGTATTTGCGTCATCTTTCTGTGGCTGTCTGCTGCGCTGATTGCGTTTCCCACAGTACAGCAACATGTCCCTCTAGCCAATGCCTTTGGCATCCCGAGCCACTCTCCCAAGACGACGAGTCCCAAACTGAATCTGTTAAAGACTAGTTTTGTACCTCGACACTCCAAGCAGACGACAAGATCCCATCATTTTTCTACTAGTAGCACAAGATTGTCCATGGTATTCGAGCGCATGTCGGAAGACTGCATTGGTGCCTTGGTGACGGCACAACAAGAAGCGTCTCGTCTGGGACTGCAGCAAGTGGGATCCGAAGTCTTTGTGGCCGGCATTGTCGATCATCCCGAAAGTCGGGCCATGGATCGGACATTGGCCAAGTATGGCATTACCTGGCGCAAAGTGCAACGGGCACTGACCCAAATGTATTCGGGCGACAACAGCAACAACAACATCAACAAACCAGCGTCGTTGGGCAATTTCAAGAAATCCAGTGCTGCTGCCAAAAAGAATGCCAACGAGAAAGACACTGTTCCGTTTTCCAAATCCGCCAAGGCGGCCATGATGAGAGCGGGAAAGTTGGCGGATAAAATGGGATCTACCACGGTCCAATCGCACCACTTATTATTGGGATTGCTCGAATATCAAGAACAAGACGATGGAACGGCAACGGCCGCCATTGTAGATGCCAAAACAGACGTCTGCGACAATGGAGCCTTGGCCGTGATTTTGTACTTGGATGGTTTTGATTCGTCCGTCACGGCCGTGGATATCTGTCAAACACTCTTGCAACAAATTGACGAACAAGGTGTCACGGCCAACGACAAGGGAGAACTTGTGACGGGTGTGGACGGCAGTGCCAATACACCCACGCTACAAGAATGCGGTACGGATTTGACCCAAATGGCCAGAGACGGATTGTTGGACCCCGTGTTTGGACGCGACGCTGAAATTCAAGCCGCTTTAAGGACGTTGGTACGACGGCGCAAAAACAATGTCTGTTTCATGGGTGAAGCCGGGGTGGGCAAAACCGCCATTGCCGAAGGAATCGCGCAAGTCTTGGTCGACAATCCACCTCCACGATTGGCCGGATATCGATTGGTGAGTTTGGAAATTGCCACGCTTGTTGCAGGAACCAAGTATCGGGGAGAATTTGAAGAACGATTGCAGAACATTCTGGCAGAAGTGACGGACCCCAAGGCACCTCCCACTATTTTGTTTTTGGATGAAATACATCAGCTGGTGGGTGCTGGCGCGGCGGAAGGAGGCATTGATGGGGCGCAACAATTAAAACCGGCATTGGCACGAGGACAGTTGCAAATCATTGGGGCGACCACGATTGCCGAATATCGCAAGTACATTGAAAAAGACGCCGCGTTGGAACGACGCTTGCAACCGGTCATGGTCAAGGAACCGTCCATTGAACAGACTGTTGGTATTCTGGAAGCATTGCAGGACAACTACGAACGCCATCACGGCGTCACGTACACGCACGAGGCGCTCGTGGCCGCGGCCAAACTGGCCGAACGGTACATTAATGACCGATTCTTGCCCGACAAGGCAATCGATCTCATGGATGAAGCCGGGGCCGTGGCGCATTTGAGTGGAGAGGAAAATGTCGTGGTGACCGAAGCTACCATTGCGGAAATCATTTCGGAATGGAGCAACATTCCAATTGGAAAAGTGCAAGAGGCGGAACAGTCGCAACTGTTGCAGCTCGAACACGACATGACTGCACGGGTCAAGGGGCAACGACGAGCCGTTCAGGCAGTGGCACGAGCCATTCGTCGATCCAGGTCGGGATTGCGGGATCCCAATCGACCTGTGGCATCGTTCTTCTTTTGCGGGCCCACTGGAACGGGAAAGACAGAGCTGTGCAAGACGTTAGCGGAAACTTACTATGGCAGTGAAAAAGATATGGTTCGTATTGATATGAGTGAATACATGGAGAAGCATTCCGTGAGTCGATTGACGGGACCTCCTCCAGGGTACATTGGTTATGTAAGTTTCGTAGGTTGACAGTTGGGCATGTTGTCGTTGTTGGTCTTCTTTTGGCTAGTCACTGAATGGCATTTGCTTGGCTGCGTGGCTTTGAATACTTACAGGAAGAAGGAGGGCAACTCACAGAGGCCGTCAGAAAAAACCCTCACTGCACCGTGCTCTTGGACGAGATTGAAAAAGCACATCAAGGTACGCTGGGAACAGGATCCGTATAGCCATGTTGGTTGGTTTTTCCACTCTCTCAATGACACAACTCAAAACCGTCAATTTCATTTCCCCCTCTTCTACATATCTTGCAACTAATTGTAAAGACGTGTTGAACATCCTGTTACAAATTTTGGAGGATGGTATCCTGACGGATGGAAAAGGCCGCACTGTCAACTTTAAGAATGTGGTTCTCGTCATGACATCCAATGTTGGAAGCAAACGAATTTTGGAAGTTTCCAGAGAGGACCCCTTTGCTCCACCACCTCCGCCAGCACCAACAACACAGCAATCCACAACTCCAGTTGACACGTCCCTGGACGCCACGCGAGCGGCTGTCGATGGCTCCGGGGTAGAACCAATGAAACCGGAGGAAGTACTGGAACGCATGCAAAACAACCCTGATGCGGTCCAACTCATGATGGAAGCATCATCCGATCCTGTCATTATGCAAGCTATGCGTACGGCCATGGACGGATCTCCAGCCCAGCTGTTGCAGGCGGGCAGAGAAAACCCTGCCGTTGCCAAGTTTTTAGAGCGCTTGTGGGCTGTTTTGGATAAGGATGGAACCAAGACGCCAACAACACAACCACCATCAGTTAATGGCAACTCGGGTCTCGATGCGATTCGTGGTGCCGTCGAGGAGAGTACGGACGAATGGAGCGATCCTGCCAAAACTACATTTTCGACGGGGCTTATGGAACAACTCGAAGGCAGAGCGGACGCTGCGACAGTCTCGATGATCGACGCCGATGAACGCAATGCTGCCCTGTATCCAAAGTATCTCGAGGTGGTGACAGAAGCACTCGAGGCCCAAATGAAACCCGAGTTTTTGAATCGCATTGACGAGATTGTGGTGTTTTCGCCACTGTCTCAGAATGATTTGTCCAATATTGCCGACTTGATTCTGCAAAAGACAGTTGATCGAGCTCAAAAAGAACTCAAGGGAATGGAAATCCTGGTCCAACCATCGTTGGTGGAGCGCGTCGTGCAGGAAGGATCGGCCAATGCGGCTCAATTCGGTGCCCGCCCCATGCGCCGTGCCGCGCAACGCTTCCTGGAGGATGCCGTGAGCGATGCCATCATTCAAGGCTTTATCCAAGAGGGAGACGTGGTGGAAATTGATGTGGCCGGGGACAAGAATGGCAGCAGTGCTCCGGGTGTTTTAGAGGAGATTATCGTGAAACGAAGACGCGATGGCAAGACGATTTCGGTCATTGTAGAAGATGGAAGTGGAGGGATTGGTCAAGCTTCGTCGTCGCCTTCCAGCATGGTGGGACCCAGTGTCGAAGGACAACTGAAAGCCCAATCCCAAGCATTGTAAAACAGAAGAATAGCGGCTCCCAAGACGCCAAGACATGCACACAACAACAAGACACGTACATAAACGCACACATACATCCAAGGCAACCAAGAGTACATACAAATAGCTAGCTAGCCATGCAACGCAACAAATACCAGTAAAAGTCCTTGAGTAGTACCAAGAATAACTAGTAATACACATGTTCCACGGAACCCGAGAAGGCAACAGTCTCCTGAGAGTACAAGCAGCACGTTTCAAGAATCCTTGCTTTGCGCAGATGGGAGTCGGATCTGGGAAGGTTGTTTCCGAACTTTGTCCATTCAGGTTCATTCCATGCTGGCAAGGAGGGCTGTCTGAATGATGACCAAAGGAGGACTTCGACCAACTAACTGTATAGCATGGTAGCATCTACGTTTTCGCAATTCTTCCTTGTACAGTTCTGTACTGCTTAAGAGAATACTGGATGGACTTGAAGAATGCATTTGTCATATGATGTATCCCATCCAAACGTTGTCACCATCAGCTTGATTCTTCTTCAAGTCATGATACTCATTCAGCCCGTGCCGAAAGATATCCAAGGTCATGCCATGCGGGCAGTGGCAACCCAGGACTCCCAGTTGCGAGACTTCCTGCAAATTGACAACCCAATCATCAAAAAACATCATTCTGTGATAGGGAACTCCCGTGGATTGCCGCAAACTTTGAAAATGTCGTTTCTTGGTACCTCCTTGGATTTGAATGTTGGGGGGAGGGACCACGTCGGAGATGGACAAATCTTCCGATATTGAAAAGTCTTTCAGCAACTGCAGTGCCCATTCTTCGTTTTGAGCCCGCGAAGCAATGGCCCATTGGGTGCTGGGTGGTTGTGGATCATCAGTGTTCTGCTGCTGAAGCTCGAGAATGGATTGGAAGATCAGTGGTACCTCTGGGAATAGTTGAATATCTCTACGGGCTTGTGGTATCTTTTTCGGGTTGAGCTGATAGAGCTCAGGAGTCCATAGACAGTTATCCAGATCTAACACAATCAGTTCAGGTAACACTTGATCTGGGGGTATACGTTTCTTCTTCCAGGGCTTGGCGGCAAGGCTCCCTATCCTACCGGTAGTTGATTTTCCGATGTCCTGTTGGCACGAATACCGCTGTGGAAGCGATGTGAAACAAGACGATCGCACATCACCAATCAGTAATAGCAAAGACGTCAACAACGTTGGCAGGAAGGGGGGCAACGAGGATACGCTCATGGCATGGTGTCCCTCTGCATACTTCAAAGGGAGCGGTCGGTTGGACGTACAGGCAGCTTCGTTTCTATTGATTCAAACGCGAGCCGAGCTTCTTCGTACATATCTACACACGCACTCGTAGAAGTGTACCAGAAAAGCCGGCACGCGTTTGAATCAGAAAAATCGAAGCTGCTCGTACGAGTGTGGTTACTTTGTGGGAGTTACTTTGTGGTGTTGTGTTTTGCGTGTTTGCTTCACTTTGGATGACATGGCTCACGTCAATCTCTCTAAACAGCCTTGCTGTCTTTTCAAACCCTTTCAAATCAGCAATTGCCACGAAAGGGGTTTAGAGTTTAGAGTGGGTGGATTATCTATCCGGATAGTATAGTGTGGAAGCCAGCAAGGGCCATGCTTTTTTAAAAGCAAAGAAGAGGCGAAATTCAGGACTGGGTTCCATGGGATCAGGGGCGATAAATTGAGGACCAGTAGGGGGCTAAGCTAATGGTTGTTATGGGTAATAGCCAGGGTGGCACTATCATCGCAACTGCTCCAAGTCAGGGGGGGGGTCTAGAGAATAAGAAGAGTTGAGTCCATTAGTTCAGGGGCAACCCTCACAAGTACAGCCACATAGGCTAGTTCCATAGCAGACTGACAGGTTGGTGGTTGGAACCGAATAAAAATTCCCACCAAAACGTTTCACTTCGTGTGGTGAGAGTATGACGCCGCACAATTCATCAGGCATGCTCCCAGATAAGGACGTGTTCATCAAGACCAAGCTGGTCAAGTTGTCCAACAAAAGTAGTTCCTTCGGAAGCGTCCCAGATAGGTTGGTATTTTGCAGTTCAAGCTCCTCAAGACTAGACAACAAACTAATATCTGTTGCAATAGAGCCCGAGAAAAGGTTGTCATTGATATGCAACCACCGTAGCTGCGTGAGTTGGGGAAGCAGCTCTGGTTCCAGCGGTCTGCCTTCTAATTGGTTGGAATGAAGGAACAGTACTCTCAGCTCTTGAAATAGAGCAGACACATGAAAAGGCATGAGCATGAGATGAAATTTGCAAACATGGGATGGTACAGCAACTCACGAGACAACTTTGAAAACTCTTCTGGTAAACTGCCCTTGATGGAGTTCCTTTGCAAGTCCAAGTATTTCTGCAAAAAGTGGTACAACTCCATTAGAACATAGAGGGACCATCACCACACAAGCTTCATTCATGATAACCTACCAGCTTGGTCAACAATCCCATCTCACTTGGAATTGTGCCATTGAGTTGAAAGTCAGCCAAAATAAGATCTACCAGGTTGGTCAGCTCCCCAATTTCAGCTGTTCAAAGCATAATTCCAAAAACATGTTCAGCAACCAGAAGGCGAAGACAAAGAAAAGAACAAATGTCACTTACATGGGATTGATGTGAACCCCCCAGTTTTCCCAGAGCCTAGACTTAGCCATTTCAAATTGTTCAGGTTTCGAATTACCTCGGTGAGGAAAGATTTTGTATCCAACCTAGGGCACTCTCTGAAACCCAATCGCTTCAGGTTTGACAGTCCAAGAATCTCAGCGGGAATTGACCCTAAGTAGGCAGAAAATATCAAGTGATCAGTCAATAAGTCAAACTGTGCAATTTTTGCAATGCCTTTGTCGGCTCCTTTGCATACCAGAAAAGTTCGCTCCATCAAATCCCAGAACTGCCAGTTTACTTAGGTTGCCCAGTTGAGTAGGCAAAGTCCCATCAAGCTTGCAAGCGGCGATCGAAAGACTCTCCAAGCTTTGTAGCTGACCCAGTTCTGTTGGGAGTGTGCCAGACAAGTGTGTTATGCTAAACAACAAGACTGTCAGCCTTGTCATCAGCCCAACCTCTGTTGGTATATTTCCTTTGAGCTGGAGGTTCTGATTTAATGAAAGTGTTTCCAAGCTATCACAAAGCAGAGATATTTCTGGTGGTATTGTTCCGACCAAGTTGTTGGCATAGAAGTTGTTGGCATACCCAAATTTCAGTGATAGGAGTTTCCCATTGTCATCACAAGCAGCCTCTTCTTCGAACCATTGTGTTTGTGCCCAGTCGCACTCACTGGTGTCCCAATCCAACCAGCCTTGATTTTTTACCCAATAGTCCCCCCGTGTTGAATAATAAAATGTGGCCAGTGCAAACCGTTGCTTCAGTCTCCATACCGGGAGATGTTGTGTATTGTTGGAGTTGTTGACATTCTTGCTTAGCCATTGATATGCCTTGGTCTGTGGAGACCTAGGATTTTCCATTGCCCTGAGGGAGTATTCAGGAAGATTTAGTATTTCCCATAATGATATTGGTGCTTGTGTGATGGAAGCTATTGTCCCTGCATTTTTTTGTATTGGAATCACTCCATGTTGCTGCTTTGCCGACTGTGTTTGATTGCTTGATTTTGGAGCAAGAAGAAATGCCACAAGTATAATTACAACAAGCAGTTGGGCAATAATTGCTTCCAGGGAGAGGAAAAAGAATAGTTTCTTCTTCCATAGTCTCTTTGCTCTTGTTGCTAATGGCTCTGCTGTTGGAATCATCCCATATTCTGGCTCATCAACTGGGTCGGCATGAACAAGGGCATTATCATGACCTCTGCCATCTTGAGATGTAGGCACCAATTCCAATCCCAGTCCTTCCATGTCGGGAAGCCCTCCAGTCAATGGTCTACATCTTGTGCGATAAAATATCCGTCTAATCCCGTCCACAGCATAGGCTCCAGGTCCGTCCTCTCCGATGCTTCCTAATTGGTGCATTGCTGATGGCTGAATGCTCCTGACAACATCAGCAAGGGTCTGGGGTGAAGCGACGTTTGAATTTAGACTGTTGGGAAATGAGATTGGATGCTGATTTCCAATCACCAGCTCCATGTCTGTCATTTCTTCTGCCCCTTTCCTCTCAACAACATTTCCAGGTGCACCAAAGCGGTTGCTGGAGCTGTTGCCGGTTTGTTGTTGTTGGACATCTTGAGTCTGTGTCTTCTTTATCATTGAGGGCTTGCTTCTTGGAATGGCTCAGCCGCGGTGTGGCTTGCTACGGTACCTCTCCACGCTGTTGTTGTTGCCTCACCGTCGTCGGTTACGATGCAGTGAATGGAGAATGGAGAGCTTACTATGCGGTTAGAGGGAACTATGTGGGGGGCGATGTGGTGGTGGCGGTGATCTTCGTGGTCATGGTGTTCGCTTCACTCCACTAGACGACCGTCGAAACGACCGTCGAAACGACCGTCGTCAGCTTTCAAAGAAGACAACTCTAAACAGCCTTGCTGTCTTTTCAAACTCCACTCAATCATGAAGCAAGCACACATCACAGCGGCGACTTGGCGACAATAACTGCCGGCAGCTTCCTGCGATGCAAGTCTGTTTGCATGGTTGAAGTATTGTCATAGTTGGTAGGCTTGTGAATGAACCCACCGCTACCAGTAGCCTTCAAATTAATTTGCAGACAGCTCAATTGAAGGGCGGCAGCTACGCTACCAAGCTGGTTTCTAGTGGCGTGACTTTGCCACCACAAAGACAGCTCAGAACCAACACCCATACGAAGAAGGCAAGGATTGCCGATATCATGAGTTCGATCAAAGCTCGCGGTTCTACTTCTGTTAGTACATCGAGTGTTGTTGATTCTGTGGTGGACAATCCCTGTTGGGGCAATCCTCAAAACTGCAGTCTGTCGCATTTGTTGACTTTGATCCAACGAGAAGAGCAAATCCTGTGGGAATCTCCAGACTACATTTTGCTCAACAAACCTGCGGATTTGCGGATGGACGGCGAGTATCCTTCGTCGGTCTTTAAGCTATTGACCTTTTGGTATCCTCCTCCTTCCTTGCAAGGGCTGGAGGAGGAAACATTGCTGGAACAACTACAAACGTTGCACAATCATTCCCAGATTGGCGACAATGAACTGCGACCTTGTCATCAGTTGGATTATGCCACTTCGGGAGTTCTGCTGATGGCACGATCGGCTCCCGCAGCTACCTGGGCATCCTCCTGCTTTGAGCACCGCCAAGTCCAAAAGACCTATTTGGCCATTCTTCATGGACACTTGACCACCAGTACTCTTGCCCACAAGAATCTACCTGTCATTCCACAAGACAAAGTCCACACATTTCTACAACAGCAAGAAACCGCATATCGAAAACGACAGAAAAAGACACGCAAAGGTACCTTTCAAGGATATCAACCACCCAATGCCTTTCTGCAAATCTACAAGGGACGATATCCTCGTCGTCGGCAACAAGAAGCAACCAAAAAGCGAAAACGAAATGAAAAACTCTCGCCCGAACAATGGAGCCAAGTAGATGCCGCCTTGCAATTGTCCACTGAGCATCAAGCACATCTGGCACAACTCTCCTTTCAAGAAATCAAAAAACAACCCACATTGCTGCAAGGACTGACTCGCGCCACTGACTGTTACAACAGCTTTTTGCGAGAGATTCTTCGCCCCTCCAACAATGACGTTGACGACCAGAACAATCTACCACCATTATTCCGAGTCAAAGAGGAAGAAAACACCTTTTACATTTATTTATCCGTCGCTCAAGTGGACAATGAATTTTCCATGCGGATTCCAGTCGCACACGAATGGCTGGCAACTACTGCTACTACTGCCGACACACCCAACAACCAACTCAATTTCAAAGTGGCATTGACCAAATGCCACATTGTGCAAACAACACACCTCCACGGGCATCCGGTGACCAAGGTACGGTTGGAACCGCGCACGGGACGACGCCATCAGTTGCGCGTCCCATTGTTGGAGATCAAACCTATGAGTGCCCAAACTCGAAAATAGAAAAGAGTCCGTTGTTGTCGCCGCGCATGTGCTTGCATGCCTACACATTGGGATTGCCATTGCCCAAGAAGAATGGGAAGGATGATGTCAATGGCAAGATCAATGACAATCATCATGACGACCCACTGCTACAAATTACGGCACCAGATCCGTTTCCCATTTCACAAGAAGGGGAACTAACAATTGATTCCATGTAGCTGGTACTTGTAGATGTCTATTCAGAGGGCAGCTTCGCAGCAGCTAAATGTTTCATGAAGCTCAAACCCCTTTTCGAGGAGGACCAGCTGGGGGGTGTGGGGGTGGAAAAGAGACTCTGCTATGAAGCCCCCACAACCCTCTGCGTACCAGAAGAAGAAAGTTCCTGGCAGTATTCCCCGTCCAAGCTCGAAGGGAATGAATGAATCAATCAATCAATCAATCAATCAATCAACCCAGAGCAGTACTACCCGACTGGTCGATCAAATGATTTGCGTCGCAGGCTCCGTCCTGTCATTAAAAGTCTGCAAGCCAATTTCCTACAGTTGGCAAACCGCACACAACACGGCTATCCAAATCGATGCATTGGTCAGGATGCGACAGTTGAGGCCAAAGTTGATCAGATCCTCCTTCGACTCGTCACATCGTTTCACTGCAGCAGCATCCTCAACGATAGCAGTGCCCCAACACTTCACAAATATGTGTGCGGCCTGCTGATCATGCGGATATCCTCCTCGACAGATAGCACACAAGACCAAACGAGCCGAGCATGGACAACTCAGCAGCGAAGTTCCAATTTCCAGGCATGGCTCCTGGGCCTGGCTGGACGTACCGGTGCAACAGGGCCACCTGCATGCGGGGACTGGCGCGGTCGTTTTGTATGTTGGACAAGCACGTTCTGTCTATGTTGGCAGCAGAAGAACAGCTTTGGGTGTCCTTGGACTCAGCAAAATTTGCTCTATAGTCAATATTTCCCGTATCAATCCGGTGGTGTACTAGTATGGAGTTGATACGAGCTCTACAAGGCTAGCTAGAAACTTGAAAGTTACGCAATCAATATAGCTATAGCTGCCTCAACAGTCAGTGACTCAGTCGATTCGATTCGCACCTTTGGTGCGAATCATGCAGTGAGGTAGAGGTTCTCAATTAAGAACCTAGACATTTGGAAACTGATGGCGCTCATGGGAAAGACTGGGACAGCGGCGGTGGAATCCGGGCCGACTTGTACGGGCAGGGTTCGGTGCAAGGTTGACAACACGCCCGTTGCTTTGACCGAGTTGGAGCGCTTGCCACTTCGCCATTCCACATGTCTCTCCCACGGCCGCGTTTAATTCTTCCAAGATCGAAGCGTTATCCTTGTTTTAAAGAAAGAAGATCTGGAACGAAAATTGTAGTACCGTGGGTATGGATGAAGAGGGAGTTGTCCGAGTTTCAATCCAAGGAGTTCGCAACACCACGAAACGCAGAAACCAAGCTTGCAAAACAAAATCTGCTGTCATTCCATTGCTGCTGTCCTTGGCTTTTCTCATCACAAGTCTTTGTATCAAACTTATCCAAAAGATAATCATACCTGATGAGCCTGTTGGAAGCATACCAGTTCGCCAGTAAGTCCTTCGAGGCAGACAACAAGCGGTGCGACGACGATGAAGGCAACGACGACGATCAGAGCTTACACGTGTCCTACGAAAACAACGAGCTCAAATACACATTCGAGAAAGCAAGAAAGTTAAATCCGAAGAACCTAAAGCGCACCGGTCTAGAGGATTCCGACGACGACATCTCGACTTCAAGTGACTCCTCGTGCACTTCCTCCAACGACGGCGCCGTTGTCACGTTTCTGGAAGCAACAGGCGTGTACCAACCGGACGAGGACTGCAACCCCATTTCTGACCCTGAAGTGATGGAAAACTGGTTGGAGCTATGTCATGACAAAGCCTCGGGGATTTTGTGTGTGAATCCGTCGGCAGTCCAAGCCTGTGCCAAGGCTTTCTGGGAAAGCGAAGAAGGTGCCAATATGCCCACCGTCGAATTGACGGCTACAAGAAAACGGTCTCGTGGCGACAATGAATCGAACGCACTTGTGAGGTCGGGTATCTTGAGAGCGTACTTTGATGGTCGACGATCTCATCGCATCGCTCCTACCGGTATCGAAGAACATGGGGTCTGCTTAAGTTGCAAGCGCGATGGCATTCCCAGAGCTGATCGCCTCAGTCTTGAGTGCAGTCACTTTTATTGCCGAGATTGCTGGACTGTGTATCTTGGAGACATTGCCCAAGCTGCTCTTGGAAGGGGAGGTCTGCCGCCCCCCGTAATAATGAAGTGTCCCAGCTCAAAATGTTGCATTTTTGTTGCTCGGATCCATGTGTCTAAGTTTGTACCATCGTTGTTGTCTGGGTTCGACGGCTTGGCCCAGGAAACCATTCTCCAGCGCTATAAGACCCAGATGCGCCGGTGCCCTGACGTCAATTGTGGACACATTGCCCTCCGATGTGGCGAGAAGTTGCTTATCCAGCCTACTGGAAAGGATCCAGAGATGGATCCAGCCACGAGTGTCAGATGTGAGCATTGCGAGACTCGCTTCTGTTTCGTCTGCGGGGATGATGCGCATGACAACTTCGTTTGCACGAACACAACTTCCAAACAACCGTCGACCGCAGGCAAGGTTGCTAACGCAACAGAGGGGCAAGCAAAGAAACGGAAGCTTGAGGACGGCAAATCAAGCACAGCCCCCGTCTCGGCTGGTGGCAACACGCTTACACGAGACTGTCTCAGCAGTATTGTTAGTGATGCTTCGGACGCTCATTCGCGGGCTAAGGGTAAAGACCCTCGTTTTGATTTGGACTTCGTCATCAAGACTATTCACGGCACTTGCCCCGAACTATCTGAGGAGCTGGAGGAGCAACGAGAAGAGCTGCAAGTACTTTCTGGATATTTCAAACGCTTTGTTCTCCATGGGCAGCGCCAGCAACTCGCCACGACTCCAATCGATGCCGCCAAGTCTGCCTTTCTTAGTACCTCCGATGAGGAGTCGGACAACTTTGTACGGGGAAGAAAGTCTTTGGTGGCTAGCAATCGAATGCTGAAGTATTCCTCGGTCCTGTTGCACGAGAAACGGGATGACAACCTTGCACACGACGCTACGTTGGGACTCTTCCTAGAACACCTGGCACAATTGGGACAGGCAACTGAAGACCTGTGTTCTCTCATTGAAAAGTCCTCGTACAGATCTGATTCCAGAAAGAAGGTGTTGAATAAGGTGGGTACGGTACAAAGTCGAATCTGTTTTCTCTGACTGGCCACGCAAACTAACAACATTGCTATTACCACTCTTGAGTCAGATTGAACGGGTTGATAGCTGCATGATGAAGATTTCCTCTCTTGGACTCGAATGACGCGGAACACGCAAAACGCATGATCACTAGGGACGTTGGAGGATTCGATGTCTGCTGTATGGACTGGTCAACCTTACAAATATCATAAAAAGATCTAGTAGTATCACAACATGCTCTAACTGAAAAGGCTGATTGCGTTCTGTGGAATTATTTGCCATCGCTGTTTTTCGACTCGACTCATTCCTGCCTCGCAAGAATACAGTAGGTCGAGTACCGTACAGGTGAACTTGTCAATGGTAAATTGCTCCCACATTTTCGTCTCGTTCTGAATCAAATCGATCGTCTCGCTACACCACAACCACCTTGAGCGTCCTTGCTTGCTCCAGCACGTCCCATCGTCCGTTCCAACCCTTGGGGATGACAATGGTGTCCCCTGCAACACACCGCCGGGCACTTCCATCCGTATTGGTCAAGAGGAACACTCCCTCCAGCACGTAAAAGCATTCGGTTCGACTTTGTCCGGCAACCATGTAGGACCCTGGGCTCAGCAGAGAACTTCCAACTGTTGTGGATCCAACTCGGTAGACCGTTTGAGACGCTGTGCTCGGAGATGCATCAAAGGCAGCAGGAGTCACATCTAGCTGCAACCGATTCAAGTCATTCAATTGGCTGTAAGGAACCACCACTGCACGCACAAATGGATCCAGTGGGTCCGCCCCCACAATCGGTAGAGGCGCACCATTGGATGTACCCAGGATCGGAGGGCCGCCTGGAGATTCTGTAGCAACGGCATTCTTACCCATAAACGTGAGACTTGGGCTAGCCATGGCTTCGGCCATGTTTCCTCCTTGATAGTTTCGGACACAATTGAAGGGTGCAATATCGACACCGGCAAAACTAGGGTCAACATCGGGATGGTCATGTACAAACCAAACCTTGTGAATATCCTCATGAATATCCCATCTCCCGGACCAACCCTTGGGAAGAATGACAGTATCACCAGGTCCAAAGTAATGTCGAGCAGTTCCATCCAAATCTGTAACACATCCCCGACCCGAAAAGACCATAAACACCTCGGTGGTCGGTCGTAAATTGGGAGACGGCCAGCCACCTGCCGCACACCACCAGGATCCGGAGGATAAGCTGGTGGACGTGAGTGACGACGTGTCGACTTGTGCAAATGGTCTAGAGGAATCATGGGGAGCTCCCACATCGGCACCGGCACGAGGTCCCTTGGGGGTTAGATTTTCAATGGCAAAATAGGAAATGGGAGCATGGGAAAAGACAATGGACTCCGAGTCGGCCGTGACAGTTTCCGCCACGTCCACCGACGAGGGAAATACCAATGCCCCGACGGCTGCTGATTCGTCCGAAGTCGAGACGTGTGGAAATGGTACTGATGTGGCGGCTTCGGGAAGAGACGGTGGTTTGAATTCGGCAATTTGTCCTCCTTGTACGACGGGATCCTTGGGTGTCATGGTATCAAACGGACCGGCCTTGAAATTATTGGTGTGATATCGTCCCACTTCATGAACCATTTCATTGGCGGGAGTGTGGAATTCTGCCGTTTGTCCTCCCTGCATGGCGCCGGAAGACGAGTTGGGTGTCATTGTATCAAAAGGACCCGTTTTGGACATGGAGTTCTGGTATCGACCCACTTCATGGGCTACTTCCTCTCGGGGAGACTGGAATTCGGCAGTTTGACCTCCCTGCATGACGGATGCCTTGGGTGTCATGGTATCAAACGGACCGGCTTTGGATTGTGGATATTCCAACCCCACTTCATGCGATGCTTCCTCGTTGGGAGATCTGAATTCGGATGTTTGACCACCTTGCATGACGGATGCCTTGGGTGTCATGGTATCAAAGGGTCCTGCTTTGGGACCAGCACTACGTGGATCAACACTTTGGTATCTACTGGTGGAAGCAGCATGACCTGCTTGATGGGCAGGATCCTGAAACTCTGACATTTGTCCACCCTGTACGACCGTATCTCCTTTGGGTGTCATCGTATCAAAGGGTCCTGTTTTCGCTAAAGCATCTAGATAACTCCGAACGGCGGGAGCCGCCTGGTTGGCAGGATTTTGGAATTCTGGCAATTGACCTCCTTGGACGACAGCATCGCTGGGGGTAATCGTATCAAAGGGGCCTGCCTTGTGCTGCTGCAATAAGCCTTCCAATTCTTGGTTCGATGTCACGTGAGGAAATCGAAAGGCCGTGGCTGCATGTGGATCCGAAGGTGCTTGGAACTCTGCCTGCTGTCCTCCTTGTACTACATGGGTTTTGGGCGTCATGGAATCAAAAGGTCCCGCTTTGGCCAAGGGGAATTCACGTGGCATGTAGGTCAAGTCTTCACCACCCGAGGGCATGTCGGGGGATAGCTGGAATGCTGGTGGTGTATAAGTAGCTTCTGAAGCGTAACCCTCTTGTGGTGGTGCTGGTGTTAGTTGCGGTGGTTGCGGTGGGTTTGATGATGATGATAAGGCTGATAGATAATCGTTGGAAGACATGGATAATCGGATTGCATTCTCAACCCTTTGCCGCACCGATCCTGATGATAATGGTACCGGTAGGAATCTGAAGGCATCCGTCGAGGATCCAACCAGTGCCAACAGTAGTAGCACCGATCGAGAGGAGAACTTCATCTTGACTATTGTTTTTTAACACTGTTAATAAGGGGTAGCTCAAGCACTCTATTAGCTAGTACTGTAGCAAATGGTATGGATCATTGGGAGTCGAATCTTTAAAAAAGAGCAAAGATATCTTTTTCGAACAGACTGGTGGAGCTGCACAAGGCGATGAGGACAGAAACACTGGCGATCGCCGAACCTTCTTCCGTTCGATGTGAAGAGGGCCATTGCGGGGGTTGATGGCTGATGGCTCCTCCCACCCAATCCAAAGCTTGGAAATTGGGTGCTGACGTCTGTAAATCACGAACTTCAAAGCGCAACCGGGAATCACCAGCCACTCACCAGCGCACCTCAACGGCAAAGCGTGGGGACCTGCGGATCGTCTCGCCTCCAACGATGAAGGGGGGTTCAGAGCAGGGTAATTATCGATCGTGAGTTCAACGATGGATGTCCCTCCATGTTCCGACTTGGTCAAGGACACAGACCCAAAAAAACCAACCTAGTAGACTAGCTACCCACTCTATGATGTGATTGCCGCATTGACATGAACAGCAAAAACAACTCGATCACCACATCTATCACCACCATGATTGAAAAGCTAAACTTGGCAGATATACCGCTGCTCACTCATCAGCCGGCAGTAGCATGGTGACGACTGCCACTGCCAGATACCGCCAACAATGATGAGGGAAATATGGATATGCATATCAATAGGTTATTCAAAACATGCATTAAGTAGACTAAACAGATGTATCGCGACCAAGAAACCACTCAACATGCACAAAGACATCCGCAAAGCAAGTTGGAACAATCAAAGTCAAGGGAGCAAGGCAAAGCAGAAGCATAGAACACGTCATGCAAACAAGAAGAATTTTGAAGGAAGCAAAGCTCTTCTGGGATGCTGCCTACCAAACCAGGGCTGCCAGAGATATCCAGACTGCCTAGACCACTGGGCAAGCAATCAAAAGGAACTGGTCCTCTCAGGGAGGGTGGACTTGATGAAAGATCCAGTTGCCGTAGATTTGCAAGCTGCCCCAACTCAGAGATGACCAACCCTGCAAAAGAGTTGTTGCTGAGGTTCAGTATCTCCAAAGATTCCATCAACCCAAGCTCACTTGGAATAGCACCAGAGAAGGGACAGTCGTTGAGCCACAGACCAGACAGTTGTGTCAGCAATCCAACTTCACTGGGCAACCGTCCATCCAATGAATTGCTTCTCAGACTCAAAACTGTCAGCTGTGTCAGCAATCCAGCTTCTGTTGGCAGAGAACCAGACAGAGAATTGCCCCACAAGTTCAAACTGGTTATATTGACTAGTCTTCCCAATTCGGTAGATGGTAGTGATCCATGGAGAGAGTTCTCAGAGAGGTCCAGGATTTTGATGTTGGCTAGCAGTCCAAACTCACTGGGCAAAGAGCCTGTGAAGGCATTGCCAGCCATGTACATTCTTTCCATGCTGATCAGATTGCCTAGTGTGCTTGGCAAAGAGCCTGTGAAGGAATTCTCCGAAAGGTATAGTGATGCCAAGCTTGTGAGCATCCCAAGTTGATACGGTATGGGACCACTGAGAGAGTTTGCATCCAACTCTAGCCGACTCAAACTTGTCACAAGACCAAGCTCACTTGGCAAAGAACCCGTAAAGGCATTGTCAAAAAGGTACAACTTCTTCACATGAGTCAACAGCCCAAGCACTGTGGAGACACTCCCACTGAGGGAGTTTCCAGAAACTTGAAGATCGGTCATGTTGGACAGGAGACCAAGCTCACTTGGAAGAGTGCCTGTCAATGCGTTCTGAAACAGGTAAATTCCTTTCATGCTGGTTAACATTCCAAGCTCAGTTGGTATGGATCCCGTGAAGGCATTCCCATAAAAGAACATTTCTCCCCAGTCGGTCAACATTCCCAACTCCAATGGCAAACTGCCATTGAAGGCATTCCGGTAGCAGCCAAAATAAGTCATTTTGGTTAACACATCCCAAGCTCACTTGGCAAAGGACCTGTGAATCGATTATACCAAAGAGTCAGTCGATCCAAATTGGTCAGTCTTCCTAGCTCCGATGGAAGGGTACCGTTGAAGGGATTTTCCGAAATTTCAAGGGCAGTCAAGCTGGTCAACAGGCCCAGCTCAGTTGGAAGAGAGCCAGAGAAGGCATTTTCAAAAAACTGCATAGTGTCCATGTTGGTCAACATCAAAAGCTCAGTGGGGAACGATCCTGTGAAGGAATTCACTTTTGTGAACATTTTCTCCATTCGGGTCAACAGCCCAAGTTCGGTCGGTAGGCTGCCATTGAATTTGTTCCCCCCAACATGAAGGTATGTCAAACTTGTCATTAGACCAATCTCACTGGGCAATTCTCCCCAAAGAGCGTTGAGATGAATACTGATTCTTGTCAAGTTTTCCATCCTGAAGAGCTCTGATGGCAACAGGGTGTCCTTCGAGGCACTGATGTCATTTGAAGGCAAACCCAAAATGGAGAGATCAGTGAGCAGTGCAATCTCAGGGGGAACAGTTGGAGTGAGATTACCAAGTAGTAGGTGACTGAGAACCAGAAGATGGTATTTCCCATCCTTGCATGGCTCGACGACACCATAATAAAATTCATCATAGGGGTCATAGCGGCCATCAACAACTGCTCCAAACCTAGAAGAGAACCATAGACACTCATCCTCAAGCCTGCCCTCATCTTGCATCCAGTTGTTTTTTATATCCTCAGGCCACTTGGGCCCCTCAAAGGCATAGTAGAATGTGGCCAAAGCAAAGAGTTGAATCATCCTCCATCCTGGGAGATTGGTCAGATTCTTGTGATTTGATAGCCATTGCCAAGCATGCCATTGAGGGTTCGAACTATTGCCAATCCTTGCGAGAGTTGAGCTTGGAAGGTTTGTCATGAGTGCATCCAGTGATGTAGTGGGGGCAGAGGATGGAACTTCTGAGGGCACCATAGAGCCAAATGGTGCCGGTGTGGACATCTGAATGCTGCTTTCTGTGTCCTTTTGCCGATGTGTTCCAACGACTCCACCAACAACGACAACAGCAACGATAAATGCCAAGAGCGAAAACACAACAAACAACTGCCTGTGTCTCTTCTTTGTCTGTTCCCTTTCCCTGACCTTGCGAAGATTGACAGGAAGGGCTGATGGCCTTGTTTGATCCTCTGGATCTTCCACCACCAAATCTGCCACTGCTAACTGGCCATCACTCAAGTCTGTGACATGATTTCTGTTGCGGTCATGCACCTCATCAGCTGGTTCCGTGGAGTGTGGATTCATCATCCGCAGTGGTTCGACATTCCCAACAGGTGCACGAACAAGAGAGTACTGGAGCGTGCTGGTTCGTTGTAGGGCTTCACCTGGGACACCCAGGTATGCTCCTGGTAGGGATGACCGATGGTGTCTGGTTTGTCCAAAAGCGGTTGGGTTGACAGCCTCTAGCATGCTTCCTCTTGTGGTGAGTTGTACTCTTCTTCTTTCCAGGTTGGAATGGTTTGACAGCTTTTCCATCTTGGCAGCCTCGTTGATTTCGGTTGCCATTTGGAAAAGGTCGTGGACAGATCCTTGGTTGTTGTTTGAAAAAGCTTCCAATTTGGCTGCCTCGTTGATTTCCGTTGCCATTTGAAGAAGGGCGTGGACATCTTCGAATTCTTGGTTGTAGTTTCCTTCCTCTAGTTGGCGCTCCGTCGTCGCCAAACTACTAGGTTGTTCTGTCTCTCTATCTTCCTTATAGATTCCAGATCTTGTATGCATAGTAGCTTGCTGTGTTTGTGTTATGTTTGGCTTTTCTCTTGGCAAAAAAGCAATACGGGTGGGAGCGTAAGACTTGGATAGTTTCTTCTTGGCCTCCGCTCGTTTGAGGAGGATATCTGTGGCCTCCATGTCCGCGTTCAGTTCAGTTTTCTTCTGATTCGCAGCAGCCATCTTCTGATCATGCTGGCTTTGCCAAGCTTCCAACTCGGCTCGTTTGAGAAGAACATCGGTGGCCTCATCCAAGTCCGTGTCTTCCTGATTCTTAGCAGCAGCCATCATCTGTTGATCATGTTGGCTTTGCCGAGCTTTCAACTCCGCTCGTTTGAGGAGAACATCTCTGGAGTAGTCTTCACTCATGGCTGTTGTTGTCCTGTACCATGTATTACTCTTGGAAATCAACCAACCGATCGTGCCACGAGAAATTCAGCGCAATTCGATCGTCTCGTGCATCCATAGTATGGGCTCCAAAGTTACTTCTTAGCAGCTGTTACTACATGAGCGGTCCATGCTGCCATACCTGGTACCGTAATCACCTCTGCATCACTTGCACATTTACTTGCCCATCTACCAACACAGCCCTGAAAAAACTGATATGAACTGGTACGAAATAGCTTTAATGTCCAGTGGCTGTCCATTGGCGATAAGGTTCCTGCTTGGGTGGGTGAGTAAAGCAACATGCGCCCCTTTGAAAAAGATTAACTCGGGTGACCTCGAGTCCAGCACAGGAAGACAACTTTGGAGTTAAGGTAGATGCGGTAAATTAAATATTTTCTGCAAACAATCAGAGTAAAAGGTATCTTTAACCCTATATTTACCCCAACTAGACTTCTAAACCTGTATTCCAGCCCACTCCCCGACTTGTGCTCAATCGCGTCTACTTACCGCATCTAGTCTAACAGTATTGTATGTACTATAGAAAACTGGTCTTGGCGAGTGGAGGTTATTGATAAATAGTACAGATGTGTATATAGTAAAATATTACTGTGACGGACCCTACTATAGTTGGCGATACTTAGGCGAATTCAAATTTTGACACCTAACTCCGATTAAGGAAGTCAGTTATCCGGCAAGGGGCAACTGACTATAAGATTTTAAATACAGAGAAGCTGCTGCTATTGAATGCCTATGCTGAAAAGATTGGATTTCGGGATGCTCCATATGACCTAGCGGCACAAAGAAACCGGTGAATGATGTGGAGGAATTTATGGATTCTCCTATCAAGCGATTGCAGAACCGGAGGTGGAGGAAGTGTCCAATCCTACGGACGGCGCTACCGATGGATATGGCTCTGACGATAATGGTGAAGAAGAAGCAATCGCCAATGACGAAGAGGCCGTTCCAGAGTCCCAGCAAGAGATTGAGCGAGTGCTTGGAGACCGCTTAGGGGATGACATGGACATTGAGGTTTTCGGTACTGAAGAAGAGTTACTAGCCAGCGAAGAACGTAATCGCCGATCCCAACAGGAAATCGCTGCAAGGAATGCTGCCGAAACAGCGCGTCAACATGACAAAGCCAATCGGCATCTCATTGAACAAGAGCTAACTCGACTGTTGCCTTCTGAGAGTGGTAATGAATCAACACTGGAAGCATTCAAACGTCTCAGCAACAAATGCGAGTGGATTCCTTTTAGAGCTCCAGATAGTGCAACAGCGGCAAGCGAGATTGACAAAGCTGAGGCAGAACTGTTTGATGAGTGGGTCGGTCGGTACAATCGCTCTGCACAATCAGGCCCAGCAAGCTACAAAGCTTTTGAGCGAGACTGGAATGGGGAAGTGTCCAGGCGATTCAAGCTGTGGAGTACACAAGGCGACCATGCCGTGACACAGCTTCGATACAAGAGTCGAGTCCTTCTTCAACAACACTACGATCGACTTGAACAACAGAAGAGTTTGCAGGGCGTCCTACCTAGTGATGACACTGATCGCGAAGAATTAGATCAAAGTTTGCGAGACAACAGACAAGGACTTCCCACTCCAAGAATACATACCACAAACCCAGCCCAATACAACAACAGTGGAAGTACTCCATTTGGTGATCCAACTGTCCTGAATGCAGAGGTTACAGTTGGTGCTGTGGCTGCTGCAGTTGTTGAAAATCTAACAACCAATGCTGCCTTTCGAGTTGCACTGACTGTCCCCCCAGCAACAGCTCCACAAGACCAACAAGGCGGGCTTCAAGAGTAGGAAGTACTGCAAGAGATGTGGTTTCCTTAAAAAGGATCATGTTGTTGCTGTAGAAGGAGTTGCTGCTACCTGCAAGAGAGACTATTGTGACAGATGCAAACAGAGAGAGGAATTTCATGTCAGCTGCCCTATGGGAGAGAAGTGCACTCATGCCATCCACAATGAGCAAGCAACTACTGTGGCTGACTGGTTTGACACTGTATCTTGTAAGTTATCCACTATTGTTACTATTCTTACTTTGGCCACTAATTGGATAACAAACAACAACAAGTCTTACAATTGCTGCTTCCTTTCTTTTCAGAGCTGACAAATATTCAATACATTGGGTAAGAGTAGCCACCATGATGGAGAGTGAATGCAGCTCTGTTGATAATGTACTGCTCACTACTGATTGTCATTCCACTCAGGTTATATTTGTGCTGGCTCCAACACACTGTGTCAAACCACTTTCCCACTCTGTAAGTACAAAGACTTGACTTCAATGTGGTCTACACCAATACCTGCTGGTGAAGAGCACCTCTCATAAGTGGTTGTTACATCTTGCACATCTCTTTCCTTGTGACAGGTTCATGTTTACACTTGCCATGCCAGTTCAGACAACACTTCACTGTACCATTCATTGCTGTGCCTGACACCCCACACAAACATCTCCTCCAAGAGCCAAGTCTGATCAGGAGTCATGGGCAGCGCATTCCCTTCCATGATGAGTTGTTCCAGGATGCCACTGGACAGGTATCTGGTCTTCACAAGATAGTACTGGGTTTTGGGATCTTCCCTGTCTGTTTGATCCTCCAGCAAAACATACTTGAGCTTATAAGTCTGCCTGGTTTTCCTCAACTCATTGTAAGGGTAGCGACTGTTAACATCTAGCCACTGTTTGAATGCATGACTAGCAGTAAGCAACATAGTGATGCAGTGTCTCTACTGTAATGGACTGTATCTTTCCAATGACTCGACTTGACACGGATATCAAATTGTGAGGCCGTACCTTTTGAGACACGAGAGGTACGGTGCACCTCAGCGAATAAGTCT